CAAGAACATCCAAGATGGAAACTGTAAAGAATGAACACCCCTAGACAGCTGTGATCCGTGTCTACCTCACTGGCTTTCAGAGATGGACCCACTCGCCTCTCAAGTGTACTTTCCCTTTCTATGAAACCTGCTTTCTCACACTTCTGTGGTCTTGCTCATGTCTTGCATCCGTGACACCTCACCCGAATCAGTGACTCCTTGCCAGAAGTCCCAGAGAATTCCCATGGCAAGTTTGGTAACATTATGAGACAACTACGATAAAAAATTCAAGAGGAGGTTTACACTTATAAGGATCCTTCTATAGTTACCAGGGCTGGGGGCAGAAGGATCAATAATAGTAACAACAATAGCCTATGAGCTCATACACTGATATATGCTCAAACCAAACATATACAGGTTTGACAGATCATAAGTCTCCGGACATTGAAAACATATCCACGAATATAGCAGAGCATAGAGGGGACCAAGGTATGAAAACTCCCTCACTACAATCAAACACCTTGAGAGAGTGATTCTCTGCACCTGGGGACTCAGGACACAGTCCTGGGGGACACCATGGCCCATGGCCATAACATAGTCCACAAAGAGATTTGTGATCATTAAGGTTATGTGTCAACGTGACTGGGTCAGGACTCCCAGTGCTTTGACAGTTGAGATGTGGTCATCCTCCTGACGAGACCTAATACAGGCAGACTTAGCTCTATGACAATTGGCTATGTGCAGCCAAACAGTTGAAAGGATGTTTCCTTATGGCTGTGGACTGCTCCCAGTAGAATGGAGACACAGAAAACACTGGGTCTGGATCTCCCATCTGGGTCACTCTCCAACCCCCGGTTCTTTGAACCTGAGCCGGTGGCCTGCTCTACTGTTTGACTGCCTGCCTACCTGCTTGGCCAGCCTGCTGACCTTGGTTCACCTGACTTGCACTTGGGACTCCTGTCTGCCTGTCTGCCAACCAAGCCTGCCCACCAGTCTTGGTTCACCAGTTTCAGACTTGGGACTCCTCTCTACCTATCTACCTGCCAATCTTGGTTCTGCTCTCCCACCTCTACAATTATGATCCATTGCCTTGATCTAAACTTTTCTTTATATATGTGCACAGATAGACATACATAAGTTTCACTGTTTTGTTTCTCTAAAGAACCAAGCCTAAGACAACAATATTTTATATCTACTTTGGTAAGTTGTAACTGGGGTCTTAAAAGCTTACAAGGAAACATCTAAGATACAACTACTGGCCTTGTCCCATTTGATGCAAAGAGAGAAGAGAATTGGAGCTACATGGAAGGAATTAGCCTATGACCTGGCAGCTAGGAGAACTAGATGGTGCTACGTTACCACCACAGCTGCTGTGAAAAGGATCACTTACAAAGATAGAGTGGGAGAAACGGTAGAACAAAGCTCAGAATCACGAAAAAGACCAGACTTAGTTATCTACTAGAGACTGGTGGAAACTTTGAGACTATGGCTCTTAGATACCCTAGAAGCCTGGGACTGAACTCCCTTCAGGGGAATTAACATTCGGCCAAACAATAAATAGGGCTATTGTTGGAGGCCAGTACTAGTGCCATCTAGTGGTGAAAGCTGAGTCGGCCCTCATGCTCTTATAATTGGCCTGAAGACAAGTTTCACCTGGTTAAGGTGATGTCAGTAATCGAGACTTATTGTTAATTGTAACTAGGACAATCCTGGGAAAAGGGAACTTAAATTGAGCTAAAATCGCGTGATTCTGTGTGGCTATAACAATGCTTATACTCTTGTAATCATATCCTGGTTGATATCCTGGTGGGTATTCTTATTCCTTGTTACTATAGAAAACCTTGTAACTAAGCAATATAACAATGACCTAATGCTAAAAGTCCTATATAAACCACGTTGCTACAATAAACTATGTCACTGGCCATCAGCCTTGTGGCCCTTGCCTGATTTTAATCCTAGCCCTCTCCTTCGAGCCACCCACGAAGTGGTCTGAGTTAATCTCAGACCCCTACAGGCTATAAAGTGAACAACAGCACCAGGGAGAAATCTGTATCTCAGGGTAATCAAGAACACAAGACCAAAAGGGCATAATTTGTCCAAAAGTAAAGCTAAGAAGTCAGGAAGGGACAGGAAAGGACTAAAGAAAATGAAAAATCCAGAGGAAAAGTGGGAATGATGCTGTTCCATTGTGGGGATTTCAATCAGTATCACAAAACAAAACGTGTATGCACTGCTGAATGGAAAACTAATTTGCTCTGGAAATTTTCATCCAAACCACAACTGAAAGTGGAAAATTTTCACAAGACCGGGTCCTGGTCTTGCGGGAAGAGTGGGCTTAGGGACAGTACAAGTCCCACATGTCTTATCTGAGAAGCTTTGCCTATTTCTGGACGGAAGTGATTTTTTTTTCAGCTGAGAAAAGTCCTTCACCAAAACATGCATAGTGACCTTTTTCCTCGTCATGATTTTCTACATTTTCTTAATTTTGTAACAAGATATTTCAGAAGAGGAAGAAAGAGAGAGTTTCCATTCCTTAAGCCCCTGCTGATGATAAGATGTGGATGGTCATGATACAGAACACAGATTCCGAAGCAATCCCTTTTGTTAGAGTGAACATTACAAGCCTGTGTTTACTAATTTCTCTACATTGTTTCTCAGGGTTGCTATTTGCACTAAATTGTTCACTCATTTAATTAAATTTGGTAACACATAATAAAAACAGATTAGGTTGTCTTTCATGGACTCCACATATCTTTGTAAGATGGATAAAATACAATTTCTTGATAGATGTTTATCAATTAATGTCTGGAATCGGAGCCAGGGTTACGATTAAAATCTTGTATCTGCTAAGATCTCTATGGAGTTTTTTTTTTTTTTTTTCTGTGTAGAGGAAAAAAAAAGAAATATTTGAAGCATGCAGGTTTGTTTGATTTTTTGTTTTTTTTTTTCAATGAATACATAAGAGAGAGATATTAGAGATGCAAGGAGGTTTTCCAAAGTTCATGGACAAACCTCATTCCCTTTTCATCCCCCTTTTCTGGAACTCCTTTAAGCCCCTTCGTATATTTAAACTTCATATGTGCTTCCATTAATTTGCAGATTGTTGACTAAATAGGCAATTTGTCTAAAGTCTACTTTTCTCATCTTTAATCAGATTTATTAAAGTAATTCCATTGTCTTTTCCCTCTTACCCTCTTTCTTCTTCCTTTTACTTCTTAATAGACACAGTTAAAATTAGATGAGAGGAACTTTGAGATTTAAATTAGATCACATCGAATTAATAAAAGCTTATTGATCACTGTGTTTACGATCCGATTCTTTCACACATGGCTGCTCCTGGTACGTGGGTTTGCTCAGATAATGCCAGAAAGAAGGCCTTCATACTGATAACGTTGTGGTGTTCCCTTATTAGAAACGCATCATGAATCATAGTAGATTCTACCGGGGAACCTTCCCGCTGTGGGAACTATCTGGAAGTGTGTATGTTTTATCTGTTACTGTACTCTCGTCAGGTATTTTCTATTTGCTCTAAATCTTCCCAGGTGGAGTTATGCTGGGGACTGGTGATAAAGTATGGAAGATCCATCAGTCTCGTTTTGAGACTTCAGGGGTAAAGCACAGCAGCACAGTAAAACTAGAATAAGTACTACCCAGGTATTCAGGGTCACTTGTGATTGCAGTAACTTAGACTCCTCGTCGCCAGAAAGCTCCTGCGTCTTCATGACGCAGCCATCACGGGTCAGGCCCTACTGACACACAGCTCCTGCTTTTCACGGAAACCTACATCCTTCCCCAACAGATATTCTGTTAGTGTTCACTAGGTCACAGAGGATCTGAGAAAGCCTTCTCTTCTGTCTCTGGTAGTATTACAGGTATCTCTCAGTCTGCTGGACACAGAGAAGACAACACAGTCCTGCTTCAACCGCTCAGAGCCTGGAGGGGTGATGGGATGCACACAGATGTCACCAGGGGAATGGATAGAATCTGTGTCATGATTGCACATCGAGGACACAGAAATAGCCAATGGCAGTCACACTACTCATCTGCACGCACGTACGGATTCCCTGTTCTATTCGGTGCCTTCATATATCAGAAGCGCAGTAAACGTTAGCTTTCTCACTGCCCCTAACTCTACACAAATCTTCTCAAAATGCAGTGCCGCCATGAGCAACAACTAGACAAATCTGCTGAACACTTTTAGTGTCTACCACTCCCTCCGCTATTGTGACGAGGTCTACTTGAAGATACCATTTCACTTGACAACATCTGCCTTCTTTCCACCATCTTTGTCAGAGCATTCTAAGATCACTAGGTCTATTTAAGTAACAACAACCACCTCAGCTTGTCCCACCCTGGCTAAGCCATCTTGCAAATTCACCTGACTTAGCCAAGCTGGGACCCCTCAGTGAGGGAGCATCCCATCTTTCCTCTGGGCATGCTCCCCTTGAGGTTTATATTGTGACAATTTTGTAGCAGCTTGGCAAGGTAGCACTGCTGTTGACTCAGGTAGTTGGATGACACTCTCAGGGCTGCCTTCAGTGTATCCACTCCTGTTGCTAATTCGAAAGGTATTTATCCGACCGTTCGGGAAGAAAGGGCACCTGATATTGATGCATATTTCAAATCAACAGTCTTTGCTTTTCAACTTGGTGTATTTACAGACAAGTGGCTGCTTCTCTAGTACTAGCAGCCAGGACAGCAGCACTCATGGAGATGGAGCAAGACAGAGGCATTCTGTTGTGCTGTCAGTATGGGCCTCATTCCACAGCACCAAACACCAGCAATGATAAGGATGAGCATCTTCAAGCTCTCACCCTGTTTCCACCTTCTCACCACTGCCCTGCTTTGCCTTGCTCACACCTCAGCAGAGCGAGTGTTTCCAAATCTGCGTGCGACCAGTCATGAGCACCTAGTGCCTACACACACACACACACACACATACACACACACACACACACACACCACACCACACCCTCCCCTGCCAGTGCCCCCAGGCCATGTGCCAGGCGGGGCTCACCCACCTGAGGCGATGTCGATATGGCTCATCCTGGTCTGGGTGACATTGATGTGCACGCTGACTCTGCTGTCAGCCAGGTCAACCTCGATGGTGCCCAGGTTCTCAGAAAAGTGACTGAAGAGTAGGAGGCCGTTGGGGTTCCAGGTGCGGAACTGGAAGCTGACGGAGAACACATCCTGGCCAGCCCGGCCGGGCACCTCCAGGTAGCTGGTGGCATTGAAGAAGACGGGCACAGTGTAGGGTTCCACACAGGAGAAGCTGAGGTTCCCCTGGAGAGCAGAGGATGCTGTGAGCCAGGGGGACACCCTGCTCAGCCATGCAGACAGCAGACTCAGCCAGAGCCAGGGTCTGGGGTGGGGCAGGTGGGCCCAGATCTCCCCTGAGTGTGTCACCTAACCTGAAGGTGTGGTGTCTGGGGAGGGGCAGGTGAGTACAGGTCTCCCTGGAGTATGACACTAACCTGAAGGTGTGGCATCTGGGGAGGGGCAGGTGGGTGTACTCTGAGTGTGGTACCTGACATCCAGGTCAGGTATGGAGCAAGTGTCTCTAGTCCTGGGGCAGACAGTGACAGCTGAAGGGTTGTTTAACAGTGCTAGGTGACACGGAATAGAGGTGCAGATGAGACCACCACTGGTTTCTGAGAATGACAGAGTGCTGCCCCCTCACTGGAGACCAGTCAGGACCCCATCTAGGAGAGATGCCACTTCTTAGGGGGCCCTCTGTCACACCTCACTAATGTGTCATGTCACCTCAAGGGGCCCAGGGACCAGTCGCTTTGCTATTTACGTAGCTGACCTTTGGAGCAAATGTTCTGGTTCTTAACCTAGACCTCCTGGATATGAAGACCAACAGTAACTAATCTGCATCACATGGCTGTGGGTTATTTTGATGTCAAACAGCAGGTACTGCTGAATGCCCACAGTGGGCATGTGTATCGTACTGTATCCTGTTTGGGGAATGAGTGGCGTGAATGGACACTAATTCACCCTGTCCCTCCTGCCCTCCATTCATGTTCTGTTTTGGCATAAACAAAGAGATTGGACTCACCCTTCAGATACTGTGAATTGTCCCCATGGTCGAACTGCCTTCCTTCTAAAGATCAGAAAAGTCTACATTTGCTTCAACTGCTCTAGTCTACAAGAATCTATTTTCAGACACTATTTTACTGTGTTTGGGGAGGAGGTGTACACAGAAATTTAGGTTCCCATTCAACAATTTCGACACAAATTGTTCAGTGACATTGGTTTCACTCCTCACAACGTGGGAATGTTCTCAGCAGTTCCAGTCTGGGTGTTCCACCTAACGCCCCATCGTGTTGTGACGACTCTCATTTGATGGCCTTCCATCTGCTCCTTCAATATCTACTTTATGATACACAGTCCTCCCCTTGGAGCATGCTCAGTGTTCCATCTGAGGCATTCTGTCTGTGACTCAATGTTCAAATTAAATAGTTCTGTACTTAAAACAACAACAACATACCTTCACAGATGATTATTTTTAACAACTTACTTTGACCAATGGGGAGAGTTGCCTATTAATAACAGCAGAGATGTTGGAATTGACCACACCCTCATAGTGTGGAGACTGCCTCCCCGCGGAACCAAAGACTCCCCAAGAGTGAGCCAATTGGCCTCTCCGTATGATGAGGGACATGTGTGTGTGCGCCTGTGCAGGTGGCGGTGGGGGCAGGGCAGCAGGAGTGCGGAGGGAATTTCACTGGAACGTCCACCTCTGACATCTTGAAAAGCAAGTTTGCCTTTCTAGAGGAGCTTGTAAAACACCTACCTCATCTCCATCTGACCTGAAATGTTCGATCTGCATTTATATTTTGACCTGGACGCTTACTATCTGTTTGTCCATGAAATGATTTACTCAAGTGGAAGATAAATGACAGATCATATGTGGTTTCTCTTTACAGCCTGCACCCAAAGCGGGTACAAGTGCACTTTGATTCTGTCTGGCTCTTCTCCCTGAATTCCCATGACCCCTGAGACAGCTTGCATCAGAATAGATAAGGTCAGACCTCACTAAGCCGGAGACTCAGGTCTCCATGTCACTGCAGGATTTGGTGTGCAGTGGTTACGAATCGGGCTGCGAACCGAAAGGTTAGCAGTTCGAAACTACTAGCTGTTCCGTGGGAGAAAGATGAGGCTTTCTGCTCCCGTAAAGATTTACAGCCTTGGACACCCTGTACAGGGTCGCTATGAGTCGGAACCAACTCCACGGCACATAACAATAACAACAATATATATATATATATATATATATATTGATTTATATACTGGCACACATTGCCTTCCCAAGCATGAATGTGAATGTAAACATGTTCTTGTTTAAAAACTTTTGAATAATGAAGTTAAGCCATGGGTAAGACATGAGATTCCTTCTGTGAGGAGCGTGTTTGAAGTCACAATGCTGCCACGGCTAAGGCTGTCAGTATGCCGGATGAGGCATGTGCTGGAATCTGTCTCTTTGCTGGAGACATTGCTCTGTGCCCAGTGAATACAACCTGCCATGATTCCAGGGAAGCTCAGCTCAAATACCATGAGCTAGTCCTGGTGGCATCGGGGCTTATGTGTTGGGTGGCTAACTACCAGCCACTCCTCAGGAGAAAGATGAGGCTTTCTGCTCCCATAAGATTTATAGCCTCGGAAACCCCATGCAGGTTCGTGATGAGTCAGAACTGACTCCACAGCACACAACAACAACAACAACAAAGACTCCTAATGCATATCAAGTACCTATACATTTTCTGATAATGGTCGAGTTGGTTTTACATTGGTGAATCCAACAGGAACACGAGGACATGACAGTCCTCTGCCTGGGAGCCAGTATTCTGGGCTCCACATTCTTACCACATCGGAGGGCTCCAGCTTCCTCCTGCGGGCCAGGTCAGTGATGTTGACGGCATTGTAGCTGATGCCTTCCATGCAGCCTTTGAAATTCTTTCTGCTGCTGGAGCTGGGCTTCCCTGAGAACGGGACTCCTCCAAAAGTGATCTTTGAGAAAAAAGGAAAAAAAAAAGATGTCAACATTCACAATGCATTCAATTAAAATTAACTACCTAAAATAGGGGGAGGGGAGCTATAAAGGCATGAAGTGACTGACTTACAAGTTTTCAAGAGGGAGTTTAGTTTTAGAGTGCATGGGGAAAGGTTGAGTCTCCACTGAATAGTTTTCATATTATCTAGATGGGTCTGGTGAAAGATGGGGATAAGATTCTTATGCTTTTTATGAAGTAGCAATAAAAGTGTATTTTCCTATGTATTATTAAAAGACATAACTAACAATAAATGGTTCTAATAATCAAGACAAAATTATTTCTAATGTAACAAGCTTCACCACTCATCCATTACTCAACTTGACCAGTATTCAAATTTACGTGCCAACCACTGAAACCAATGAGACAACACTGAAGAATTCTACCAACCTCCACAGTGTGAAATTGTTCAAAGATGTAAGTACTGGTGATTGGAATGTGAAAGTTGGAAACAAAATGAAAGGATCGGTACTTGGAATGCATGGCCTTGGTGGTAGACATGGTGCTACAGATGGAATGACATAATTTTGTGAGACCAACAATCTATTCATTGCAAACATCTTTTTTCCACAGAATAAGCAGTGAGTTTGAAGCTTGCTCTTAAACATACAGTAAAGTAATTAGAAGATATGAAGAAATAAAAGAGTTGAACAGAAAATTTAAGGGCAGCTCAAGAACATAAAATAAAGAATTATAATGAAACATGAAAGCATCTGGAGTTAGAAAACCAAAAGGGGAGAACGAGTTCAGCCTCAGGTTGTAAGAACTGAAAGAAAAACTTCAAGTCTCAAATTGCAATATTGAAGGATTCTGTGAGTGAAGTGCTGAGCGATGCAGAAAGCATCAAAAGAAGATGGAAGAAATACACAGAAATGTTCAATATCAAACCTTTCAAGAGGTATCATATGATCAAGAAGTGACGGTGTTGAAGGAAGACGGTGTTGAAGGTGCACTGAGGGCACCGAAGAAAAATACATCTCTAGACGGAATACAAACTGATGCAACACTGGAGGTGCTCAGTTCTACGCCAAGAAATCTGGAAGTTAGCCACCCCTGACTAACTGATTGGAAAAGAGCCGCATTTGTGCCCCTTCTAAAGAAAGGTAACACAGTACAATGTGAAAATTATTGAACAATATTATTCATATCACACACAAGTAAAATTTTGTTGAAGATTATTTAAAAATGGTGTCAGTGATACATCAACAGGCAGCTGCCAAAAATTCAAGTCAGATTTAGAAAAAGATGAGGAATGAGGGATATTATAGCTGTCATCAGATGTATCGTGGCTAAAAGCAGATAAAACCACAAAGAACTTCACTTGTATTTTATTGACTTTGCAAAAACATGTGGATCATAACAAACTATAGATGACATTTCAAAGAATGAAAATTCTAACACACTTAGTTGTGCTCGTGAGGAACCTGTACATAGGCCAGGAAGCAGTCACTCAGACAGAACCAGGGGTTACCACTTCATTTACAATCAGGAAAGATACACGTTAGGGCTATCATCTTTCACTATACTTATTCAATCTGTACAGTACGGTGTTTAATTGAGCTCATAAGGAGCCTGTAGATAAACCAAGAGGCAGTTGTTGGAGCAGAACAGGGGCTACTGAATGGTTTAAATTCATGACAGATATTCACCAGGGTTGCGTATTCTTTCACCATACTTATTGAGTCTGTATGCTGAGCAAATAATCCGAGAAGTAGGGTTATATGAAAAAGCACATAGCATCAGATTTAGAGGAAGATGCATTAACAACCTACAATATATAGATGATACAACCCTGCTTGCTGAAAGTGAAGAGTACTTAAAGTACTTACTGATGAAGTTCAAAGACTACAGTCTTCAGTATGGATTGCCCCTCAATGGAAAGAAAACAAAACATCCTCACAAATGAATCAATAAATAGCATCATAATGACTGGAGAAAAGATTGACATTGCCAGCTTTTATTTTGCTTGGTTCCACAGTCACCATTCATGGAAGCAGCAGTCAATAAATCCAATGACTTATTGCAAGACCTCTCGAAAGTGTTCAAGAGCAGAGCTGTCAGTTTAAGGACTAAGGTCTGCCTGACCCAAGCCATGGCATGTTCAATCACCTCATATACATGTGAAAGTTGGACAATGGATAAGGAAGACTGTAGAAGAACTGATGTGCTTGAGTTATGGTGTTGAAGAAGAATTCTGAACGTACCATGGACTGTCAGAGGACCAAACAAATCTGTACTAGAAGAATTATAGCCAGAATGCTCCTTAAAAGCGAGGATGGTAACATTTTGTCTCTCATACTTCGGCTGTGTTATCAGGAGAGACCAGTCCCTGGAGAAGTACATCGTGCTTGGTAAAGTGGAGAGTCAGAGAAAAAGAGGAAGACCCCCATCGAGGTGGACTGACACAGGGGCAGCAGCAATGGGCTCAAGTGTGGCAACAATTGTGAGGACAGTGCAGGACCGGACGCAGTGTTTTGGTCTGTTGACTGCTATGAGTCTGAAGTGACTCGACAGCATTTAACAACAACAACATAAATTCCGGATCAGATAATTGGATATTATAAGTGTGATTTTTAGCTAAATTCATTGATTACTGACTCACTTGGAGAGTAAATGTGGTTACTGGAAATATAAACAGCAAGGATAACTTTTTGTTGCATGAATTTGATGTTATGATGCTGTAATGTGACCAAAGGTTACAGTTAAAAATATAAATATATGTATATGTCAATAGTAGCCACAGGACCACATGAAGGAGCAGACACTGTATTCCTCAGGATTTAGGAAATCTTTGATATCCTCAAACCTGTGCTTCCAGTCCTATGAGATCCAACATCAAAACAGTAAGAAGCTTCAGAAACTGTTCTGCTGACAAGAAGACCAAATAGACTCCAATTAGCCTCGCAGCGGCTGTGCAGTTGGCTGTAACTCTGGTTAGCTTAGAGCCTCGCCACAGGGTTTTCCAGGGCTGAGTCTTGAAATGTTTACCACCAGGCCTTTTCTGAGGTGCCTATAGGTGGACTCAAGTTTTCGATTAGCACCCATGTGTGTTCACTGTTTGCACCACCCAAGGACTCCCTGGATGACTACAAAGGCGAAATGCCACACCCCTTACTTTTCTTTTGAAGCTTTTATTGTGCATTTCCATGGCAGAGCATTGGTTTTGCACCCACCCAATCATATTATAAAGGAGCTCTGGTAGTGTAGTGGTTAGGAGTTGGGCTGTTAACCTCACATTCAGCAGTTCAAAACTACCAAGAGTTCCATGCGAGAAAGATGAGGGTTTCTAATCCTGTAAAGATTTAGCACCTCGGAAACCCTGTACAGGGTCACTATGAGTCAGAACCGACTCCACGGCACGCCACCACCATCACCAATCATATTTTGTTTCACTGCAATGATTACAATCCCCTTGGTGCGCTATTGATTAACAGTATTTGCCTCTATTCGCTCTTTGTTTTGTTTTGAATATATAATTGCTTAAACAATGAAAGGGTATGCTTGGCAAGTCAGCCTCGTGCCTGTCAGCACACAGCCTTTTTCTTGACATGAGTCTACAGCTCTCAGCTGCTCTATCTCCCCATGCCATCACCTCTGCCTACATCTCTGGTGTCATTGCTTCTCTGGTTAGGATCCCACGTTCCACTCATGCTCTTCCCTCTTGATGGTCCTAGGGTCCTCTGTTCCTGGACTGTAAGATTAACTACTCTCTCCTTTTTGTTATAAAACATCTACCTTTACAGTTGTGACAATCATAATTAGTCATGATAACAATTACTCACTATTGAATCAAAAGACTTCTATCTCCATCTCCTTTCACCAGACCCATCTAGACAAAATGAAAACGATTCAGTGAAGATTCCCCCTCTCACTCTGAAACTAAGCTCCCTCTTGAAAACTTGTTAGCCAGCCACTCCATGCCTTTAAAGCCTTAGGTAACCAGTGTCATAGCTGCCCGTCCCTCCCCCGCCACCCCCCAGTGTACTGAGGGGGTACGTTCAGTCCTTGATGTGAAGACTCCTTTCCTTTTGCTTGATATTTTGAGCTACTTACTAGATCCATAAGCAAAAGTCAAGTTCATCAAACTGAAGCCATTAACACTTGCTTCCTGTCTCAAACTTCTTTATCTTCCTCTCATTGAGTTCTGATCATCAAGCCATCCAAACTAGGTCAAATGACACACCCTTACTTTTGCCTAAAGTTGAAAGTGCCATGGACTTGTAATGTTGTTGGTGGTGTTATTTGATGCCCTCAAAACACTTTCTACTCATAGCTACCCTATGTACAAGAAAAGGAAACAATGACCGGTCCGAGACCGTTCTCTCAATTGTTAAGTTTAAGCCTGTTGGTGTCACCACTATTCAGTGCATCTTAGTGAGGATCATCCTCTTTTTCATAGCCACTCCATCACGCATGTCCTTACCTAGGGTCTGGTCCCTCCTGATAACATGTCCAAAGTACATGAAACCAAGCCTCATCAGGCTCACTTCTAAGAAGCATACTGGTTGAATCTCTTCAAAAATAAGAAGATTGTCTTTTTCTTCTGGAAGCTCATAGTAATGTCAATATTTCTCACCAACACCATTATTCAAATGGCACAAACATGGATCTCTCCCAATCAGAGAGATTCTCGGACACAGACAAGTAAGTACCTCCAGGGTTACATCAGTTTGTTGAAACATTACAATTTTTTGTCAACTCCTGGAACCTTGTTTTTCCACAATGCCTTCAGTGCACTGGACTTTTTCCTTCACTGCCACTAATTCTTGAAGTTATATATCTGTGGCAATTACTCAGCGCTACCATGATCAGTTTCTCTCATATATTTTCGAATTAAAAGAAAAGCTAAGAAATTTTGAAATGTCAGGACTTCATCTTTTAAACATAAGGCAAAGACCTTTTTGTTCTAAGGGACCTGTGAGCAAATCCTGTTCTATTATTTAGTGTCATGGCATTTTA